GGAACACATCTCTTTGTCCAAAGAGATGGGTGTAGCTTCTTCTGGCTTCAGGAAGTTCTGATAGTCTTTAAACTGCAAGTTCGATTTAGTTCATTCTTCTTGGTTGCCGTTAAAGTCTGTGGGTTACTTAACTCACAGTCCCACTCTGCTGGGTTGTTGTTCTCCTCTACGTGATGTCCTCATTTAGGTTGATGTCATCTCTGGGATGCACCACTGCTGGACGGGGGTCATCTCGGGGATGTCTACAATCTGCTGGGCTGAGGTCATCTCGGGGATGTCCAAAAACAGCTGGGCTGGGGCCATTTTCCTCTCATGTTTCACTGTAAGGCTGCAGCCATCTTGGCTTTGGTCTTCTCTGCTAGGTTGTTGTTCAGTTTTATTGTTTCCTCTATCTGGAAAACTTTTCACAAGCTGTGCCTTTTTAGGTCTCTGGTCAATAAGCTGTTCTATCATTTCCACTGTCTCTGTAGTAGACTGGCACAGCTGACACTCATTTGCAAAGTCCTTGTCTTCTTTAGGGTCAAAACTTGCTTCAGGCACTACAGCACAGATTTCTTTTTGCTCCTGCTGCAAGGCAATGTCTTCCTTCAACACTGTAATTTGAGCTCTACTTTCTTTTGCTTCCACATCTTCTCCCAGTAAAATGGATTCATTCTGCAGCTTTTCAGGATTTCCTTTAGAAGGATCAGATATGTTTACCTTGGATTTTTCAGTTACAACTCTATGGACTTCAACTGTCACTTTTTTATCTACAGGGATATCAGTACTAGTCTCTTCAGCAGACACATGTTCTAATTCTTTACTAACAGATTCTAGAAGACAGGTATTCTGGGTCAGCTTATTCCCTTCTGCACTAGCAGTACTGAGGTCTGATGAGGCTTGCTTACTTGCAGGTAATTGCAAAGAAATGTCAGATACCGCCTTTTCATTTTCAACTTCTACTGTAACCTCAGCTGTAGTTTCTTCTAGGAATGATTTATTGGAAGTTACAGTAACACCTGGATGCTGGAGTAGTTCAGCAGTGTTCTCTCTGGCATTTACTTTCTTCTCCAATTGATATTTTAAGAGGTCTTCATAGTTAGCTCTGACTGATGCCAATACTTTAGCAAAATAGTCTGTCATCGAGACACCAAACAGCTTGTTTTCTGAGCCTATTGGTTTGCCTTGAGGCAAATCTTTTGGTGTAACTTGAGGAAACTCACGTTTGAATTCACGGTTTCCCTCTTTCTCCCTCTCAAGTTCAAGTCTTGCTCTTTCAAATTGCAATCTCTTTGCTTCCAATTGTAACTCTTTGTCTCTAAGTGCAGCCCTCAGTTTTAATTCCTTATTCTTAAGTGCTGTTGTCATTTCTAATTTCTTTTTCTCAAATTCAGCTTCAACCTTCCGCTTTTCCATTTCTCTATCTCTGTTCTCTCTCAGAAACTCTAAATAGTCTGGATTGGGGTTAAACCTTCCCTCACTATCACGTTTGCCAGCATCTACAGCGTTTTGAATCAAGCTAGCTCTCATCTTATCTGCATTTTCCCCTTCATGAGGTAAATTTAAGTCTATACATTTTTGGATTAAAGCCTCTTTTTTAATCCTAAAAAGCTGCCATTTTTCACTTAATATATGCTCTCTTCCTCCGCCGAGGGGGGGGGTTTCCATGGAATCCCAGTCCAAGAAGAAAGGTCAGTCAAAAAGAGAAGGAACAGAGGCCTCCATCCTAACCAGAAAATCCACTCCAGGGAAAATGAAAGTGTGGCCTTTGCAGAGACCTTCAGTCAGAGAATGAACATCATTTTGCAGACACAACTTCTGTGACGTCCTCCTTATTGGGGAGGACTAGTTTCACTTTAAAAGTTCTTTTTATTTTGTTTAACTGGGTAGAATCTGCTGTCACCAGGAAATTTTAAGGATTTCCAAACCTTTATGCTTTTACTTTTGCTCTTACTGGTTTGGTAGACTGAGTTCAAGGCTCACGAGGAACTATGTGGTCCTGAGAAGTATTTCATTCAGAGCTGGTATAAACTTGAATAAAAGAGGATTTATTGAAATAAATATTAAATAAGAGGGTGATACAAGGTAACTAGTAATGTGTAAATGATGTACAATTGCTTTGGTATCACACTCAATCTTATCCCTCACTGACAGGGATCTTTGCATGTAACTTTGTAACACTTGTTTATCTCAGTGCCATATATGATCACTGTTCCACTTCAGTTTGTTATGACACTCAGACTTTCCTTTAACTTTTCCCTATACACTCAGTTTTCAGCTTTCTTTTTCTCTCTCACTGAACAACCGCAGCTGTCCTTCTAACTGCTTCAACACAGAACTCAGAACTGTCTACATCAACAGTCAACTTGTAACTGTAACTCTTGACTGACTCATATAGTCATCCAACCAGATTCCCTTCCAAAACCCCTCCCCCTCTCTGTCAACCACCAATCATACCACACTTGCCTCTCTCAACCACTCTAGTCTATCTACCACAGCCATGCAACCATATTCAAAGTATCTCTCTTGCAGGAGGCTTAATGTGTCACAGAATCATAGAATCAGAGTGTTTGAACGGACCTCCAGGGTCATCTAGTCCAACCCCCTGCACAATGCAGTAAATTCACAAATACCTCCCACACACACACCCAGTGACCCCTATTCCATGCCCAGTACTTTTAAAGTGTATGTTATTATAAACTTAGGCATACATTGGGAAGAAGCCACTGTAATATTCGGATTGCGTATGGAAATTCAGGTGCACATCAGGCTTTCTTGTGTGGGTTCTAACAGAATCTCTTTCTTTATTCCAGCAGGAGATGACAAGAGGGATGAGGAGGATGAGGAACTGCATCCTCTATCGCCAGGTGAACTCAAGAATGAAGACTTGAGAGGAAACTTCAGAAACCAAGTTGGACCTAAGAGGCAGAAAAGAAGCCACATCATCCAGAAGAGGGATAAACCCATTCCTTGCCAAGGGGGGGATTCCCAAGAAGTAATTCACATGGTGAAGGAAACATACAAGTGCTTGGCGTGTGGAATGAACTTCTCAGATCAATGCCAATATAATGTCCATTTACAAATGCACAGTGGAAAGAAGACCGATAAATTGCTGGAGTGTGGAAAGACTATGTTTTGCAGAGCAGAGCTCCTTAGACAGCAAAGAACACAAAGAACACATAGAGGAGAGAAACGTTATAGCTGCTCAGAATGTGGCAAGAGATTTTCAGAAAAATCAGACCATGTTCGACACCAAAGGATTCATTCAGGTGGGAAGCTATTTTGTGGGAAGAGATTCAGTCGCAGTGGCCACCTTCAAACCCATCTAAGAAACCACACAAGGGAGATGCCTTTTGATTGCTCAGAGTGTGGGAAAAGATTCAGTTACGGTAGCAGTCTTCAACAGCATCAAAGAACCCACACAGGGGAGAAGCCTTTTGAATGCTCAGAGAGTGGGAAGAGATTCAGTCACAGTAGCAGTGTTCAACAACATCATAGAACCCACACAGAGGAGAAGCCTTTTGAATGCTCAGAGAGTGGGAAGAGATTCAGTCACAGTAGCAGTGTTCAACAACATCATAGAACCCACACAGAGGAGAAGCCTTTTGAATGCTCAGAGAGTGGGAAGAGATTCAGTCACAGTAGCAGTGTTCAACAACATCATAGAACCCACACAGAGGAGAAGCCTTTTGAATGCTCAGAGAGTGGGAAGAGATTCAGTCACAGTAGCAGTGTTCAACAACATCATAGAACCCACACAGAGGAGAAGCCTTTTGAATGCTCAGAGAGTGGGAAGAGATTCAGTCACAGTAGCAGTGTTCAACAACATCATAGAACCCACACAGAGGAGAAGCCTTTTGAATGCTCAGAGAGTGGGAAGAGATTCAGTCACAGTAGCAGTGTTCAACAACATCATAGAACCCACACAGAGGAGAAGCCTTTTGAATGCTCAGAGAGTGGGAAGAGATTCAGTCACAGTAGCAGTGTTCAACAACATCATAGAACCCACACAGAGGAGAAGCCTTTTGAATGCTCAGAGAGTGGGAAGAGATTCAGTCACAGTAGCAGTGTTCAACAACATCATAGAACCCACACAGAGGAGAAGCCTTTTGAATGCTCAGAGAGTGGGAAGAGATTCAGTCACAGTAGCAGTGTTCAACAACATCATAGAACCCACACAGAGGAGAAGCCTTTTGAATGCTCAGAGAGTGGGAAGAGATTCAGTCACAGTAGCAGTGTTCAACAACATCATAGAACCCACACAGAGGAGAAGCCTTTTGAATGCTCAGAGAGTGGGAAGAGATTCAGTCACAGTAGCAGTGTTCAACAACATCATAGAACCCACACAGAGGAGAAGCCTTTTGAATGCTCAGAGAGTGGGAAGAGATTCAGTCACAGTAGCAGTGTTCAACAACATCATAGAACCCACACAGAGGAGAAGCCTTTTGAATGCTCAGAGTGTGGAAAGAGATTCAGTCGGAGTGGCACTCTTAAAAAACATCTAAGAATCCACACAGGGGAGAACATAAGAACGTAAGAGAAGCCTATGGTGGATCAGGCCAATGGCCCGTCCAGTCCAACACTCTGTCACACAGTGGCCAAAAATACCAGGTGCCATCAGAAGATCCAGCGGTGGGGCCAGGACACTAGAAGTTCTCCCACTGTTGCTCCCCCCACCCAAGCACTTGCCCCATCACTTGCCCCAGAAGCCTTTTGAATGATCAGAACGTGGGAAGAGATTCAGTTGCTTTGACCACCTTCAAATCCATCTAAGAACCCACACAGGAGATAAGCCTTTTGAATGCTCAGAGTGTGGAAAGAGATTCAGTCAGAGTGGCTTTTTAAAACAGCATCAGGGAATCCGAACTATGTAACTGCTTAACTCAGAGATGTCAAACTCATTTGTTGCGAGGGTGTTATCTGACATAAATGTCACTTTGTTGGTCTGGACCATGAGTGGCATAAAATGTAATGCCAGGTACCACAGATATAAACTTCAGAAAGGACACAGGAAACACAGTTAACAATATTATTTTCTACTCAAAATACAAACACCCTTAAAATGTTAAGAGTGTTTCCTAACTGACTCCTCTTGCTCTGAATCATTGCATCAAAATCTGGAGTCAGTGTCTGTGCTGTAGCAATCTTGAGTATGCTTTTTAGGTGTGTATCAAGCTGAGAACATACCTTTGATTTATAGGCATTTATTACAGTAAAGAGCTGTTCACAGACTGGAGAAATGCATTGCCTCCTGGAGAGGTGACAAGCAGACTTTAATTTTTTTTAAAGTTTATTTATCTGAGTCAGAGACAAACCGGGGGGGGGGGGGGAAATTAAACCGGGGGGGGGGGGAGTAAATTAGCCCATGGCTCTCAGGATGCACCTGTATGCCCAGGATACACCTGTGTGACCTGGGCAGAGCAGGTGTCATGATCTGAGCTGTGCCACCAGAGGCCTACTAGGCCCGGAGAGCCTGGTTAGCAGTAGGGGAGGCTGGGCCTACAAATCCCAGAAGGCCTTGGGAAGTTTTGGTGCCGATTTTGACCAATAGGGAAGAAGAGGGCTGGGGAACAAAAGAGCTGGTGCCAGAGGAGAAGCTGTTCTTTCTTCCAAGAGGGCAGAGCCAGAAGGAAGGCTGCTGCAGGGAAGAGAGCCTCATCCTGTGGGAAGGGTGAGTAATTTAAGGCCACTTGAGATCATGAGCTAGGAACAGTATATATTTAGTTGCGTTAGGGCATTTGATTTCTTTTCACCCACTTACTGTTATTATTCTGCACCTTGTTGTTTGCCCTCCTATAAAATAAACCTTTTCCTTGTTGTACTCTGCCTGGTCATCGCACCTATTATTCAGCCAAAAGGGAGGTCTGAAGGTCTTGGGAGGGTGCTCTGGGCCTTCTCAAGGGATCCTAAATTCAGAGTGGTGGCAGCGTCAGGTGACACCCCCACCTGAGCCGTGACAGCAGGTCAAAGAAGGGGTGGAGCCAGAAGGGGTCGAGCCAGAGGTTTAATAAAAGTGAACATGCTGCTAGGCTGGGCTGGGCTGTCTGGCTGGTTGCAGGATGCCAGAGAAAATGAAACATCCTTAGAGCATTTTGTATCTTTCTAAGCTTGGAATTGTCTGCTGTACTTTGAAATCTAGCTAGAGTATGTTTTAGAACCAGGACAGGGGATGCGATTATGACCAACTTTTATTTGTCCTTCTGCTTGCAGATCTGGTGCTGCGCTAAACGTTTGCTTGGAACCTTTTTCATTTTTTAAATAGATATTTTACTCTTTGAAGCTGGTAGTGTTCTCTGGACCTCATCTAATGAGCTGCCAGGGGGCATTGGATCCTACAGGGCCATTTGAAGCCACATAGGGTCCATTTGGCTCTGCGGGAGAGCTGAAATCTACTCGCTGCCCAACCAGGGTTGGGGTGAAACATTCAGATGGGCCTTCAGGGCATGATGGTCTGACCATGGCACTGCTGAGGCAGTGACCCAGTCCATTGTGACCCTTGCCATGAAGATCAGATCGAGTGTGTGTCCGGTCCGGTGAGTGGGAGTCGTTACATATTGGGAGAGTCCCAGAGCCACCACGGATGACAGTAAGTCCATCGCTTGAGTGGAGGCCATATAGTCTGCATGGACATTGAAATCATGCAGGACAGTCAGTCTAGGGTGTTCCAATGCCCAGCTGGACACGGCCTCCACCAGGGATGGCAGGCTGCTGGCCAGTTCTTTTTTCAACAAAAAACCAAAGATAAAGTAAAAGCAAAGACAAGTCTTACCTTACAGTAATTATGTTTTGTTGTCATAATTATTACTTTATGTTTGGTTTTTAATATGCTTTTGCTGTTTTATTATCTGCAGTATGTGATTATTTTAAAAATGGAATTTTTTTTGCCTTAAATTTTGTACAATAATGAAAACATTGTCTTCTATTTATAAAAAAAATCAATAAAAAGGTGTGCAATCCTTTTATCTGGGTCACATCTGGGGCTGGCTATGGGGATGGTGGAGGCCAGACAATGATCATTTAGGTGCAGACGATACCACTCTAATGGCAGAAAGTGAAGATGATCCCTAAATTTAGGGATTTCATGGCAGAACAGCACATATTTTTTCACACTGTGATCCCTACGTCTTCAGCACTCTCTGAATCAGGCCATAGGGCGCTGCATTTTCGCTGGATCCCAGTGGGCAAGGCAAAGGAGTGCTCAAGATGTCTCTTTCATTTGTGACCCAGGCTCGTGGGAGTTTTAAAATATCTTTTATACAGATGGCAGCAGCGTCCAAGCCTTAGGAACAAAGCACACATATTTTGCTGGATATGCATAAATTAAGAGTGTCTTTACTCACCAATTTACGTTGGAAATGTAAAAAGAATGTAGGAACCTTTTACCACATGTGGTGGAAATGTAGCAAAATACAAAAATACTGGAAAATGGTACACAAAATAATTCTAGAAATTCTGGATTTAGATGTTCTATTAACACCTGAAGTATATTTGTTAAATATAATTCCAAATGGCTATTATGTACATGATGTATATTTGATAACATATAACGGCTGCTTGAATATTATTGGCAAAAAACTGGAAACTAGATATAGTACTCTCAAGGGAGGACTTAATACTAAAATTGTTAGAACTTGCACAAATGGATAATTTGAGTTTATTGCTTCAAGATAAAGATAAGACAGTACAAAATAAAAGATCGTCAAGGGTATATAACTGGATAAAGCATGTAATAGATCTATAGACTATATTGGTATGTAATCTAAAAGCTTAAAAAGTTTGTTTTCTTTTTGAAAATGTGTATCTTTACTCACACAAAGGAATTTGTTTTACAGGAAAAGAAATTTTTCCAGCACCAGACGTTGGCAGCCCAGCATGCTGCTGGTTTTGGAAGTGGTGAAAGCTGCCCCTTCAGGTGCCCTTGTAGCAATCGATATAGATACACACTAATTACGTTTTGGAAGCAATATGGCTTTTGTGATTCCAGGGGCAAATCAAATGAAAGCCAAATGGACCTGGTAATGATGAGCTGACCTCTGTGAGAGGAAGCAACTTTATGTTCATCCCATAAAAGCACATCAAACTCAAGGTGATCCCCAAACCTTCGCCTGTGTCTTAAAGGATGGTTGGTATCAGGCACTTAAGAACATAAGAGAAGCCATGTTCAATCAGGCCAATGGCCCACCCAGTCCAACACTCTGTGTCACATAGTGGCCAAAACCCAGGTGCCATCAGGAGGTCCACCAGCGGGACTAGAACTCCAAAAGCTCTTCTACTGTCACCCCCCCAAGCACCAAGAATACAGAGCATCACTTTCCCAGACATAGTTTTCCATGTACCTTGTGGCTAACAGCCACGAATGGACCTCTGCTCCATATGCTTATCCAGTCCCCTCTTCTCAAAGCTGGACACAAGACAGTACCTCCTTGTTCTATGCGTATAAAAGGAAGTACTTCACCCAAAGAGTGATTAACACATGGAATTCACTGCCACAGGAGGTGGTGGCGGCTACAAGCATGGACGGCTTCAAGAGGGAATTGGATTAACATATGGAGCAGAGGTCCATCAGTGGCTATTGGCCACAAGGTATAGATGGCCACCAAATAAGAAGGGAGCACTCACTGGAGAAGACCCTGATGCTGGGAAAGATTGAAGGTCAAAGAAGATGGGGACAGCAAAGGATGAGATGGTTAGACAGTGTCATAGATGCAATGAACATGAAATTGAGCAAACTTCAGAGGACGGCGGAAAATAGGAGGGCCTGGCGAGATCTTGTCCATGGGGTCACGAAGAGTCGGACTCGACTGTGCAACTGAACAACAACAACAACAATAAATAAGAACTCTTGGTCTGGGGCGAGTGATGCTCTGTATTCTTAGTGCTGGGGGGGGGAGTGCGAGGGATTCTAGTGTCCTGGCCCCACTGGTGGACCTCCTGATGGTACCAGGTATTTTTGGCCACGGTGTGACATAGTGTCAGATTGGCCTGATCCAGCATTGGCTCCTCTTATGTTATTTTGTTCTTATGTTCTCTTATGAAAGAGGCTTATGAAGGATTGGGTTTCCTCCTCCTGGGACACAAGGGCACTGTCCTTGCACTCCAGGGTAAATGTTGATGGCCCAGTCTGGCTAAACATGTGGCTAACTGGAAATCAGGTTTGTTGGTAAATCCCTCAAACATAGCCAAACCCTCACCCAGCCTCCTTCCCCAAGGGCACTGAACCTTTTGAGATTCTTTACATGGATCACATGGGGCCACTGCCTCTGGCACATGGCTATAGATATTGTCTAGTCATTGTGGCTTCTCTGGCCCAGTTTACATGGATCATTGTCCAGAAGGGGTTTACATCTAGGGCTTTGGTCATGGCTTTAAGGCCTTGTATCAGTGTCCACGCATGATGCCTTTATCCCTTTAAGACATCTCATGCCATTGCCATCAGACACAGCTGGGACAATTTGCCCTTTACTATATCATGCCACTAGTTGGAATGTCTAACTTAAGCGTCTTTTT